CGTCACTCTAAGTTGACTTCATATTTGCGTTATAGATAAAATTAATAATAAAGTGAGAAACAAAAGCACAGGCTTTGAAGAGTGGAACCAACTCGCAGTTTTCTCTTTAACTATTGAAAAAAAATGTTAATGAAATTTTAACTGGAATTTCTAAGCATTATTATTATTATTATTATTATTATTATTATTAGAAATAAAGCAGACATCAGACCCTAACTGAATTTCCTTGAAACCTCACCAAACTCTGGAAATATTCAACTTCTCGTTCCGAACTCCCATTCAGGCAGCTAGGGAATCGTAGGTAAACAAAAAATGTATTTAGTTTCTGGGTTGAACCTCCGGAACTCCACACTTGGTTGAAAACTAAAGCGTGGGAGTCGCTTCCACCACGCGCCGCAGAAACACCCTTCTTTGGAGTCTCCGCCTACTCCCGAAGAAACCAGCCAGGAGGCGGGTTCGTACCTTGAATGTGAACGGCCATATTTTCCAGTCGTCTTCGTTTCTAGCCGGACGCTAAAAAATAAAGAACAAATCTGGGATGTACCATTCTCTTGACTGAATCATTCTATACAAATTGAGATATTTACAGGAACATTCATAGGAAATACCCAGAAATAATCTTTAAATTTCTTTTATATAATACTGTAAAGCATCGTGGAGCAAGTCATTTCGCTTTTCCTTTTCATCTTTGGGCCTGAACTATTTGGACTCGCCCAAACGTAACTTCCTGAAGTAGAGTTGAATTCCGGAAGCGGCACGCGCTGGGAGATTCGTACCACGACTGGATTGCTATGGGTCGGAGAAGAGCGCTGGGCAATGGGTCTCTGGGCCGGGCCCTTATCCGCCATCAGACTCAGAAGAGCCGGAGCCATCGTCACCCCGACTCGTGGGTAAGTTAGACACTGTCATCTTACTTACTCTGAGTAGTTTCGAGAGCCTGAGTGCTACAAAATTGGGGGTCAGAAGTCACAGAAATTTTGCACAGTGATGCCTAAGCAGTTTGCAGTTTTCAAGTTGTCGTTTTTGCCAGACCGAGAAGCCGGCCCTAGCCAGCCATAGGGCCCAGAGGGAAAGGCCTGAAAGCTGACCTGGTATGACCGTGAGGCTTGAGTGAGAGTGCGAAGTCCCGGACGCCACACTGTCTTAAATGCGTTTGATTTTCGCTCTAGAGACAAGCCATAGAAGAAATGCTTGGAAGTTTCTGAGCAGGAAAGAAAACTTATTTAAAAACTGATTGGTTTAAAGAATTGAGCCTCCAAAACTATTGGGTTACCATGAGTACTACAAAATAACCTAGATCTGTGCTTCTCTCTCTCTCTCTCTCTCTCTCTCTCTCTCTCTCTCTCTCTCTCTCTCTCTCTTTTTTTCTCCCTGGGGGTTTAATGAGCCATTTATTTCCAAAATGTGACAGGTCTAATTTTTCTCTAGGCCTCTGGAAGACCCTTAAAAAAGTGAATATGGTTTGGTTTCTGTTTCTCATTCTAGTCATTTATTCTCCAAAGTATTTGA